GAAGGGGAATGCTATTTCTTCAAAGGGAGATGTAATTTAGCAATGGAATGTCAGGTGTAACATTAGCTGGAGTTCGTTTTCAGAAATGGCCAAGTTTCTGCACAAAGCTACTTCATAGTTGCAATTTTGGTTTTGTAAGTCTCTGGAATATTGGAAGCCTTTTAAATTTGAGGCTTTGTTGTTATTAATATAGTATTAAAAAAAAAAAAGAGCAGTGCTCTGCCTCTGCAGTAAGCATCTGAAAGCTTTCTGTTTTCTTGCAATTGAGTGACAGAGAAAAAGAGCAGAGAATTCGCTTCCTGCCGAGTCGCTCCTGCACCGTCGGTGAACTGCTTAAGCAGGGTAATGTGACAAACGGAACTTAGCAGCTGGGCGGATAACTGTATAGTCCTGGGAAGAGGGCAGTCAGCCCCCAAAGCAACCATAAACCAGAACAGCATAATCTCCTCTGATAACCCGTGAGCCTTCGCAGAGTTGTACTGGGAAAGATGTTTCTCAGGAGGTAGGACTACTTTTTTTCTTAAGCCTTTGCCTCAGGGTTATTGGAGCAATTTAACTTGAAAGATCAGATGCAGCCACGTACAAGTGAATTATGTCGGTCAACTTTTAAAATTGAGTTTTTGGAGAATCTGGTGATATAAAACAATTCTGTATCTTTTTATTGCCTGACACTCAACTCTTTTGTTATTTTGTGATCACTGAAATTAGTGCATGTATGTTCGTTTTCCCAAAGTCTTCCACAGAATACACAGAAACAGCCGTCTGGATGTATCTCGCCTCTGTATCTGACCATTGCGCAGATCCTGTGCTCAGGCCGTGAACAGAATCGCGCTGGTTACATGCTTGCACATTATTCTTCCAGTTAGTTTAGCGCACTGATTTGACACTGATCTGTTCAGTCACCAGGCTGTGTTGCTGTAGGACACTGAGGGAGCAATCATTTGCAGCGAGTTTCTATGAAACAGGTCAGTTGTAAAAAAAAACAAACATTATTGTCTTACCTGAGCATCAGCTAAAGAAAGTGATGGATTTGGATTGACTTTGAAGTCCCTGCTTGATTTCGGAAAATGAACCTTTAACTCGAGGAGCCTTCTCTGCATGTGGCGGCAGCACGACAGCCAGAATCTCGCGTCGCCCTCCCTGCTGCTTTTCCTAGCGGAATGAACGTGCTCCTTTTATAGCTCACGAGCTGACGCCCCTTTACCCTGCCTCTGAAAGCCGGGGTTCCCCAGTCTCTCCGTGTGCTACCGCACCACGTCAGCGGGGTCATCTGAACTCGACTCGCTTTCTAGCAGAAGTGAAGTGGAAGAGCGATTGGTACAACCACGGAGAGCCCAGCGATGACAACACAGGAGTATTATACTGTAGCAACAGGCTCCTCCACCCTGGTGCTACACTATGAAGAAGCTGTGTTGTGTGCGCTACAGAGAGACAGGAGCTTGATGGGAGAAAGACAGAGCCGGAGGTCATTTTCCGTCCTTAAAAAAGCCATTTTTTTCCCCCAGCAGTCAGTGAAGAGGATTCCCTTTCACACAAGCGGGTGTTATGTGCTTCACGTCAGTCTGACAGAACCACAGTCTAATGTCTTTGGCTGCACTTTGCATCCTTAGACCTTGTATAGCACCGAAGTCAAAATCTGTCCATCCATCAGAAGAATGGAACAAATATTTTACCTATGAAGGGTCTACTGACACAGGAGGGTTAAAACAGTTCAAACTGTAGACACTGTAGTTACACCTGTAGATATAGTGGTCCCTCACAAGACTGTATTAGGAAGCCAAGCCATAGCGTTTCATAAGCATTTGTGTTTTAAGTAGCTATGTCCCAGAGACACCACCAGGGGGCGGAAATGCAACAGGAGCATGAGATAATGTCCTCGACTAAGCGCAATATCAGGGATAACACATCAGTCCAGTTTAATTAACTTTACACTGCTGAGTACTCCAGTGGATTTACCAGCTATTTTCCATTGAGGTTAACAGTGCTGAAGAGCAATACTCTTTTGTTGCAGAGATGGCATTACACAAAGTAGGTATTTTCCATTTTCATTTGCTTGGCACATTGAATTATCAGACGAGTCAGTTTTATGTTTATGTATTAAGGAGGCTAGAGCTAGCCTTGTTACAATCACAAACTGATCAAAAAAATATATCCCTCTAGGTTCAGCCATACAACTACTTACAGTGGATTCAGACAGGGTAAAAATGAACTTCGGATGCATGTAATATTTTGTGGGCAAAATCATGTCATTTTATCTTAGGCAAAAAAAAAACACATTTTAATCCAAGTTATGATCATTTTTACCTCAAAAAGAATTCCATGCACTGACAATTCAGAATATTAAGTATATGAACCTAAAAAATCTTAATCATATATATGCACATACATATAATTTTGCTTCCAAACAGGTTCCCTGTTCCTAGTAAATGTATCCAATAAAGCTGTAATTAATGCATTATGCATGGAAGGCCAATAAATAAAAGATGAAACTCTCTTCACGTTTAATCGTTCTCCTTGGCTGACATGTGTTTGCTTGTTTTTTTCCTCTCCTGCTGCTATCACGGAGAAAGACAACATTAACTTTTAAAGAAAAAGAAAAAAAACCAACAAAAAAGGTTTTTCAACAAGAAGAAATGTAAGACAAATATACAGAAAAGCGCCGGATGACGTTTCTTTCCATATCCCTTGTATACAACGATCTGGGTGAACTGAGCAAAGGCAGGCCAGCTCTTGAAGTACTGGAGATGTTCACAAGAGTCGCGTACTGATGTCACAGACTCCGGGAATCGGGTCCGGTTCTGGTTCCCTTGAGAAATGGAAAAACATGCAGTTCCCCCAAATTCACCTCCAGAGCCAAGGACAGACTGAGGGAGTGTTGCGGCGACAGCTCTGATAACAGCTTAATCGCCGTGGACTCCCCCTTTATGTTTTCTGTTGGCATAGCTAAATTTAGGTCTTCGTGTTAGAGATCATCTCTGTCAGAATAAACACGAAAGATCCCTGAAGACATCTTTCAAGTCCTTACAAGTCTCACATTCTTGAGCTGCTCTTGGATTGGCCTTGCTCAGATGTGTTTATACCACAGGCTTGAGCTCTGCTTCATTTTCATTTTTTGTTATTTGTATATTCCTTTTTACATACTCTCCATAGATCTTTCCCTCAGGGAGTTTCATTTCGCTTTACTTAAAATATTAACCCCTGGCAGCACTTGGACAACCTATTATATGACATTCCATCGACTTACCCCGCTGTTTTTTTTTTAAATCAGGCAGCATTGAATCCGCAGCGATCTGTGTGTCCACTGTTTTATTTATCACAGTCGAGTTTTAATTTGTAAAGAAAACTACCGAACCTCTGATTTCAGTCGAATTTCACACCAGGGCCAGTGCTTAGATACCTGCTGTAGTGATTTCTTATGTCTATGGGAGTACGCAGGACGATGTTTGCATATATTTTAGAGCACAAACTCTAAGGCTGTTTTTTTTTTAATTTATGCGGAGAACGAAACCAAATCAACAGATGAGATCGGATAAGACCCGAAGAGCACTGAGCTCGCTGTTGTTGCCTGCAGTGTTTTGAGCTCCTTCTGTCGGTTCTCTTCATAAACTACAGCTATAGCGGCTGCGACTATAATCCTAGCATCTTTTTTTTTCAAATCAGCGCTCACAGACTGTTAAATGTTAAATGTCTGTCAGGATGAAAGATGCTGGTGCCTGCCCTGATATGTAACAACTGAAATTAAAGTACCTTTTTATATGATATGTGCTTTTACAAAAAAAAAAAGATACAAGGGTTTTTTTTCCCCTTCCCCTGCAGTGATGCCAAATAACGTTACGGCCCGAGCCTCGTCTTACATCTTTCATAGCACAGAACACACAACAGGTTATGCAAGACCAGGGCGTTTAAAGACTACGCAGTTCATTATCTTATAACCTCAAACCGGTTAAACTTTAACATTTTTCATCAAGATGGTGCGGTCGACATAAACATGACATATAAACGAACAGAGACACGCAGCTCGATCGCAGAATAGCCCAGACCGTGCCTTGACACTGAACATCTGCGGACAAAGAGCCGGGAGGACAAAGACCTTTTATTCACCTCGGCGTTAATGGCTTTGGCGCTCTGGGACGATCTTTGTGCACAACAAGCGTCTCTGGGAGCATGACCACCCGCAGGGACACGAGGTGTTGTTACGTTGTATCTTAAATGTGCGCCCTGGCACACGGAAACCCAAACTGACTCGGACGCGTGAGGACACGCGGAGCACGAAACCCAATCAACAGATGAGATCGGATAAAACAGATAACAGATAAGATCGAATAGCATCCCGGACTGGACAATCCGGGATGCTAAGGGAGCCGAGGGAAAAAAAAAAAAACACTCGGAAACTGGGAAGGCGCTGGACGGACGAAGCCGTATGTGTAATAATAAACGATGCCTTTAACCCGACACGTTTCAAATCCCCAGCGTGGCAAGAGCACGGACGAATGCCGCATTTCAGCGCCCGTTGCCTCTGAAGGTTTCCGAAGGAGAAGGGGAGCCTATAGACTCTCGCGTAGCGCCCACCTACCCTTGCAGGTGATTGGGCCCCGAGTGTGAGCGCTTTCCTGACACCTGATTGGGCCGCGGAGGTGCCGCCGAGCCAAGGCCGCCTCTCATTGGCCGGCCGGCACGTCACTCCGGGCGCCGTGGCCCGCCCCGCTCGTCAAGTAGCGGGCGGTGAATGGTGAAGGTTTCACAGCAGCTCGATACACTGTACTACAGCGCCGAGCCGCGCTCCGACCGGGGTCCCGAGTTTATTTCACGGTTGCGCACAGGCGCCGCGCAGTGCGTTCGCATCCTGAAGGGGAACGATGCTCACCCCGTGTGTCGGGGCTGCAAACGCTTCTGCCGCCGTTCAGCTGGGGGAGCGCAGGAGGTGGCTGATGTGACAGTGTTTCTATGTTGTGCTCAGTCCGTTATTGTTCTGGTCCCAGACGCAGCCCGAGCAATTGTGCGAGAAGATGTTGAGCCGACTGATGAGCGGCAGCATCAGGAATCTGGAAAGAGAATACAATTGCACCGTGAGGCTCCTGGATGACACGGAATACACCTGCACGATTCAGGTCAGTTTGAAACAGTCTCCTGCCCGCTACCTCGCTGTGTTGAGCACTTACGACATCTCCTCCAGCTAGCGCTGCAACAGAACAGGTTTTTGTCACCTTTGTTCAGCACAGATGGGAAACGTGCTGATGTGATGGTATTATTATACACCTGCACCTCGCGGGTCTGGTACCGCGGAATCATTGATAAATCTTAACGCGGTCATTCATTATTAGGTGTCTAGCGCAGCATCATCAGCGGATACGCAAAGTAGGGTAACTCCTGCGTGGGGGTTTGGGCGAAATGAGAGTATTCCGTAGGAGAGTGATGCGTTTTTTTTTTTGTGACAGACAAGGCATACTGCCTTCCTCACTGGACAGCGCTAGAGCATCGTTCATTCTTCACATCCAGATCGGTGACAAGTAATCGGTGAAGTACAGTATTCAGGGCAACTTTGGCTGGCTGGCGTGATGACCTACAGCTGTCAACGTTTTGTCTCTTCGAAATGCCCGAGCGTACGGCCTTAGATACAACTGATTGGTTACAACCGGTGTCCTTTCTGATAGCTGGGCACAATAGTTCCAGACAATACCAAGGGCGCCCCAGTGACACGGTGCCATGTTTATAAGTACATTTAACCGGCTGTCCAGCTAAGCCACGACGGCGCTCTGACATGTGTGACCTGATAACTGATAACGCCTCCTTTATTTAACAGGGAAGCATGTGAATTCATTATAAGAAGGTCGTTTTAGAAAGATATGGGATTTGAGGGTTTTTTTTTCTAAACAAGCCTGTGACAAACCTGATACCTGTGTTGATTTAGAGGTTGCAGATGTGGTGTGTTAATTTCGGTGTTGAGAGCTGTCACAGAGCACCCGCGAGCGCTTCTGTCTGGGGATAAAGCAATGCTTTCTGCAGGCGGCTACTACGACCATGTGTGAGACGGCATGCTTATAACAATGCAATCCATCTTTGAACATCTAGAGCCCTTTAAATGATAGCCAGGGACCCGTGCGCCGCGCTGTGCAATGGTGCAATTGATTAGAAGCCTCGTCAACACGGGTTTTGCAAAAGTGTAAACTGATAGTGGAAAATGAGGCTTCGTCATCCAGCATGGCAGTTCAGTGAATCGCTCAACCTGGAAACCTCTGATGACTTTCTGTTGTGGTTGCTTAGGATTTGATCTCCCAGACCGCTTCATTATCACAGGCGGTTAATAAGCAGACGCCCCAGCGGTGTTATACAGGGGATGGAATTGTAACACAGGCCCGTTTGCTGTTCAACAGGCATTCAGGCGGGCTCCTGTCATGAGAATAATTATTTTCATTCTGAAGTTTGTACGGAAAATCAGATGGTTTGTGCACACTGAGCAACACAACATGCAGGACCCGGTAACATGCAGTGATATAGACGTGTCTGTTAGAAGGATTTGCTGTAGAATAGGAAAGGCACTCAGAATACCTGTGGAAAGGTACTGTATTGACCTTCCTCCTTGCAAATACTGTACATGTCTGATCTTTATTTCATTATACAGCATTTTTCAAAATTAACGACTGATTTATGCTTTAGTTTTTGTGCCTGAATGTGCTTTATGATGTCAAAATAGGAAGCCTGAATTACAGACTAAGCTATTCTTGTAGAATTCTGTATTGGAAGAAGCTCCTAAATTACCCGTGCCTCCAGTATTTGTGTGGCTTTAAAAGGGGCTGTCTGTGAGGGTGCCTGTGGTTTAAAATGACATTTCTGCTAATCTGTGTGGATTTAAATAATCCCCAAATGACTACATGATTAGGAGAAATGAAAATGCACAGTAGCACAGAACTGCACATAAAAACACAGACCTTTTTTTCTGTTTTGTGCCTTGTTTTGTTAATGGGATGGGTCAAGGTCTTGTAAGAACAGGGCTGGCCATGAATATGGATCAGTTAGAGAGCGATGTTAGAACTATGAAGAGGATGTTTAGGATGTCAGACAGTAGTATTATGCACAGATGTAGTTAATCTGTCCATTGAGCCATATAAATGTATTCTCTTGATTTAAAAAAAAAATCATCTTCATTTTCAATCATCATAACCCTGGGTTCTGTGCCGGGTCTAACCTGGAACAGGAACATCTCAGCGAATAAGCAGTTTGTTAGTGCCTATGCATAAAAGTAACTAAATCTGAGAAGTCTGGAACAGTAGGCACATAATAATTGCAACAGTAATGGTAATAATGTAATTAAATAGTAATAAGGGCTAAGAAAGAGTCTGCAGTTATGTACATCAATAGAACTTAATTTACTGTATTCAGTGCATCTCAGCCCTGAGGCAGAGTGGCATTTCTATTAGAAATATTAATTGTTTGCCCTGTAGTCTGCGCTCCTTGTGCTATTGAGACGCATTGCCTGGAGCATGGCGATGTCTCGGTCCCTGGTCTTCAGATTAATGCCTAGGGAAGCCGAGTAAGGCAGGGATCAAGAATCTGTTTGATTGCTGCTGCGAGCGCCCATCAGCTCTTAACCTGTTGCCCGCTGGCTATAGTGAGTCTATGTGGTGCAAAGGCTTGTAATGAGACAGAATGGGGGAGGACTGACTTGTAATGTAAAATCTTCCGTTGGTGTTTTTCACACACACAGGTGGGTGGAAGGGTGAACTTGTATTTAAAAGGGGTTTAAGCTTTGATGGTTAAAGGGGAACTGCAACGCTCTTTTTATATGTCGGGGTTAGCAAGAAACGGAAATGATGACCGCAATGAAAGTAAAAAGTACTAAAGACTTTCAAACCACAGCAAAAGTAAAATGTACACAATAATTTGAAAAGCCTCCAACCTGCACAATTCTTTTTTGGAAATTTCGGGGTATGCGCCGCGCCCTCTTCTGCGATTGACAACGGGACGACAAGACTTCTGGTGAGGTATTGTGGCCCAATGACATTGTAAACAAGCAGGCTTGTGAATACAGCTCTTTTAATCCAACAGAAATATTGCTCTTGATTTTGAGACAGTTTTGCCAGCAAGTACTACTTACTTGTTAACTCTGCATGCGGATCACGTTGGAACATCTCTGTGGTGAAATGTTTGCTGCACAATCTGTACTTATTTGCTCGTACATTACATTATACCAGTCCTTACAGTGACTAGTGATCAGGAAGGGCCAGCGCAGTTTGTGGGAACTCTCGCCTGATTTTTCTCGCAAGTTGGTGATTTTGTGCTTAATTTGAAATTTGTAATAATTTTCTATAATGTCAATGAATTTATTTTGTTACCGTGATTTAATAACTGGTCTGAGAAATTAGGACTGCAGTTTCCCTTTAAAAACATCGTATTTAGTGTGATGTGCTGTGACAAGACAAGTGTTGTATCTGCATGATGAAGATTATCCCTCAGCGGATCTGTTGAAACGTTTACTGCAGGGTACTAGTGATCTTAAGCAAGAGCTTCCTCCTCCTATAGGTTTCAGAATGAACTCGTTTACTGTGAGAAATGAAGAGGCAGTGACAACACGAACAAAGCTGTGATTTTGAATGTTTTGTTTAGACAAGTGTGGAACATGCTGGTTTTCCTTTCAGCAGCTACTGGGCTACACACTTAGCTCAAGGGTACTGATGGGCTTTCTTTATTTCTTGTTCTGTTGCTTCTAGGGAGGCTGTGGGAATTGCTTTGTTTCAAGTTCAATTTGAAAGACGCGGAGGGGTACAGTGGGAATCAGAACCAATTAGATTCAATTGTGGTATTCCTGTATGTCTGTTCTTGGAAGCTGTTAGAACGGTCCTTGGTTTGCTGAATCTCATGGGGGGGGGGTTCTTCTCCTCACTGTTCACACAGTTTCTGTGCCGTATCTCCACTCACAGCTTTTACCCTCTCCGGATACTGCATGCATTCGACAGAACAGCTGTCAATGTTTTGAGCTCCCTTTTCAGGCGCAATCTGCTGAAAAATCAGTTAGCTTTTTCGTCAAGAAGGAAAAATGAAGTTTTGCATCTCTCTTTAGTGTTTTCGCATAAATACTGGTGTGAATCGCAGGCTCCCCTTTGAGGGCTGCAAACAGCAGAACCCAAAGAACTCTTATCAGGTCGAGCAGGAAGCTCGAAGTAAATTTCCCCATATATAGACATCTCCTGCAAAAATGCTATACATGCATGCATAAATGAATGAATAAATACTTTTAAAATGTTGGTTGAGATTTCCAATAAAGGCCGTTGCTGCAGGAATGGCAAAGATGAGCTCCTGTACCTGCTGTTGTTCATTTTGTAGGATGAGCTTCCTGTATGGTTCCATAGTAGTGATGATGTAATTGTGACTGTGAGCTACAGAGCACAACGTGCTACTTGGATACTCTGGCAGTGTGGACATGTGGCTGGTTTCTCCCCCATCCACCTCAGAGAGTTTGCCTGTGTGTAAGCTGGCTTTCTGGCTCTGGCGGAGGCCTTTATATCTGTTTTATGTAGCCTATCCCATGCCAGGCAATAAGTGTGCCAGAGAAGCCCAGGATTTAGGCCCGCCCAGCTGGGGACTGTACATAATCAGATCTAGGTCACCCTTTCTCTCCAAGATATTTTATTCCTACTATCAGCTCAGAGAGTCAATCCCCCCTGGATCTGTTTTCATTATGATCGGTATCTGTTTTCTAAACTTTAACAGTTGTTCCAAATTCTAATTTTTACATATCTATCTTTCACAAGTCCCTGCCTCTCTGAATTATGTTGAACTGGTGTAAGTAACGTAATATGGGTAAAAACGTTGAGTGTCTTCTTTCTCTCCCACACAAAGAGCCTGTATTCCGCTTGCTAAATAACATTTTACACTATGCATCATGTAAAACCGCATGGCTGTTTTGTAATTTCTTTAATTTCACTGGAAAACGTCTGTGTGCAGACAGTGCAAAATCATTAGTTAGCATCATAATTAAACCGCATGTCATTTTGGTCAAGTAAGGGGAAAAAGTGAACAAGCAAGCTTGCAAGGAGTTAGGGAGCTTCCTGTGCCCAAAGCTGCTGCAGAGGGGCGGTGATTATGTATATAGTTCTAGACTGACTGCTGGTAG